AGCTTGTAGGTTTGTGGAGAAAGGCAGCTCGGCCAGTGAGGGCCGAGATGGGAAAGTCTTGTATTAGAGGAAAGAGGGAAGGGCAGAGACCACTCGAGGCCGAGCAGCCGAAGAGTGCGTCACCACACCTATCCGTCACGCAATTCAGATCACTCATCGAATCTCCGAAGAAACCAAGCAGAAACTCCCTGTTCCTCCGCGATCTACCAACTACAATCTCCGTAGATCCATGTCCCATACTCAACCACATTACTATGCTACGAGTATATCTAACATTGAGCTCCCCCGTCGACTACAACTGCAATGCACCTTTTCAGCAGAGGACTTAATAAAGGCCGAGATCGACGTGCTCAGGTTTTGAGCATCATCACACCGCAGAGAAGTAGGCCAAAGTAACAAGAAAAGGGTGATTTACATGCGGGTGGACAACCACGTCTCGCCACAAGGATCACATTACAGCCACTCAACGCCGCCGTGGTTAGCTCAAAGAAGCGGTGACCTCAAATATATATCGTTAGGACTGAGGGAGTACATGAGTACATACGGTTGATGTACCCAAGGGTCAGCGGTCATCGTGATGTGCCTTTCGAAATTCTTCAAAGTTTCGAAAATCCATGGCCAGTGGTGCGTCGCAGTAGATCAGTTGTTTATTCCTTGCAAACGACTTGTTCGGAGATGTTGTATGCATACCAAATGGTGAGCATTGCAAATTGGGTGTGCCTATGTTACCCTCCACCCCCCACTCTCGTTCGTGTATACGCCACGTTATTGTGCTTTCTCTCGCTGGGGTGTGTTTCGTGTGTGCAGTGCTATACGGCATGAACACCCACGGGGTATGTCCGAGAGCCCCGCCCTTGACCATTCATTCCGAAAGACGTAAAAAAAAATAGCGCGCAAGTGATGACAGCATGAACTGACAACAAAATGCAGTAATTCGGGGCAAATCAGGCCGCAAATCAGGTGGTCAAGAAGAAGGAACCATTCAAACACCAGTTTTTTTCATGCAAGACTATTCACGCAGACACCATGGTGCGGATGCACTCTTCGCCACTATCTGTGTAAGCTGTTCATGTTGACCGGACTGCTCTACTGCAGTTCGCAGTTCGAAAGGCAAAAAGTGCATGGTTTTGTTTTTCCCTATCCACCGCTGAAACATACAAAAATCCACCCACAACGCCAGGCAGCTTTCCCCCCCGTCCTTCGAAACAGCGAATACAATATTGTAAGATCCTCGCTTGCTTGAGTTAGAAGGTTAAAGTAACAGCTCCGCACGCGCACCGGGTTGCTGCAAACAAGCTCCCCGTCGCCTGCATCTACAGGTCCGGAAAGTTCATCCGACCGAAAACAGAGGAGTAAGAGTACGGATACGTTAACACAAGAATGTTCGCATCTCCGGTATGGACGAAAATTGTGTGGGCTACACAACTAGCTGCCCGCGCCGATCTTGGAGACCTTTCAGCTCGGGTTGCTAACAAAGAGCGACAAAATGAAATAAAAGAGCTCGGCGCACAAGCCCTCTTGGTGGCAAACGAATGCCCCAGCCTCTCATGCCTGTCCAAAATGTTCACCCGCCCGAAAAGCTTCGCCAAAAGAAAAAAAAGACAGGCCCTACTACAGCAGTAGACTGGTAGACTGTAAGGGAGTTCGAGATCTCGTCTGTGGACGAAATTGAGAGGCTGGCCACCGAATAGACTAATGCTGTGTGGACCATTCGTGTGGAATGCCACACGGAAAGAGAGCAGCGACACCAACGTCGCCGCCTAGACATCGGGAGGCAGTTGGACTGGACGCCCGATGGCGCTCACCTTGCCGTCGCCAGGATTCCAGCTACCACGACCACAGCAGCCCATGGTTGATGCATCACTTCGGAGCCTGGTGTACAAAGGTTCTTGGTTTCGCCTTCGGTTCCAACCCCGGCTTATCTGAGGCAGCAAGCCTTCTCTCGGTAGTGAGGATTACCGTTGGGTGTAAGGAGGTTGCGCAGCCTTTCTTCTGCCTTCTCGTGCTGATTGCTGCTGTTCACAGGGCCAGATCGGGATGCGGCAGAAGTTGGTCGGGTGTGACTGCTGCTGTCTCTCATTCGAAATACCCCGCACGACAGATCTCCGAAAGTTATGCGGCGCGATGTTCACCCTTTCGGATGGCGGAGCAATGCACGACCTGATGACCTCATGACTCATGACCTACAGCGGTACATGCTAGGTTACCGCGCGTAGGCGCCATCTCTTGCTCCTTCTTCCCACATTGCTGAACGCCCAACCGACCTCTCCTGCTTGAATTCTTGTCGCTTCCAGCGTTGTTGTGTTTTTTGGTCTGGTGGACGCCGCATCCATCGCCGTCGGCGCTACGGTCGTAGCAGGGAGGAGACCCACCGCAAGGACACGAGTACACATCAACACGGACGGGTGTTGATGTCGTCGCCCGTAATTGCACATGGCCATACAGTTTCCTTTCCATGAAACGACGGAAACAAGATATGGCTGGAACACAGAATCCGTGAGTGCGTGTTGACAGGTGTTGGCCCGTCCTATATATTTGCATTTTTTTTCAGTACGCAGTTGGCACGAGCTCGGCCACATACTTCAACACATCAACGACACAGAGCACACTGGTGATGCAGTTGGAAACCTCGCAACACCTCCTGTCTCTAGGCCGTGGTTGGAACCTGTTTGGAGTGCAGCGCTCGCAGTTAGTCCGTGAGTGTACACAAAACGAATCAAGGAGGAAGAGACGGTGTGGAACCCCTGCATGTAGACCAGGTACACAACGAAGTGTTGAAAGGAGCGGTAGCAGGTTCACCGATTGGGTTTTAGAGCCAACAATAAATCGAAACACAAAAGAAAGAGCCTGTTACCCACAGGGGAGATGTCCCTATATGCTGTCTGGGAAATCGTAGACACACAGGTAGTTTTCTCTGACACTATGATTCCATTGTTAATCTGTCTCTGACTCTTTTCTATGATAGAGATGGACTCGTTGTGTCATATGAAGAAAAATAAAAAAAAAGAAAACCTTCTTGCTCAGGAACCTCGATCCTAGACTCAAAAAACAAACAGTAGACGGTATCATGGAGTAACGAGATACGCGTTGGTACGCTCAGATCTGCTGCTGGAGCTGTGACAGACGGAAGGGTGTCGCCGGGTCCAAAAACTCCACACTACTGTACCACTGAATCCAAAAAAAAAATCCACGCTGTAGACTACTATTGTTTTTATTGATATTTTGTCTGCCTTCCGACAATTGCAGATGTACCTCAGAAAATTTTCACTTGATGTCTCATGCTCTACATGAATATTAAACCAATACGAAGTACAACAACATGTGTAGGACTTATTTCTACTGTCATTTACATCGTAAAAATATCACCTCTTCAATTTGAAATAAAACCAATGACAATCCTCATGGTATCTTACATCCGTTCGTAAGCTGGCTAAACTACTACTGCGTTGATGTCCTCTTGTAAAAGCTGAAATCCAACAAATGCTTTGATCCATGCTACAACTCCGTGTTGGAAAAGCACTTTCTTCTCCGTTCATGATAACATCTTACCCTATTCTACGCAAATCTGTCACATCTACTCTCAAACAAGACGCCAACTTCAAACGAAAACGCGTTCTACGATGCGTCTACTAGTATTGTAGCAACCACGAGCCCCACCCTTTGCAAATCGTCGGAGGCAGCTAGCAGTATGAACTATTGATGTACGCCCGCACTTCAGGAGATGGGGTATTTTGCGGCGAGTGCAGGCGTGGATGATTTGGATCGAGATTGGTCAGGAGTGCGGACCCGCACCTGCAGCCTGCGATAGCACACGCTCCCATCAACGGATCTGAGCGTGCAATTGCGCAGGTCACTTTACTACTGCTGTGTCCCTTGCGGGGGTGTAGTTGAAAAGATCGGAACATCTTTTTCCCAAGAAACTGTGAAGCACCGGCCGTGACGCCTGCCTAGTATTTAGAGTCAGTATTGGGATTCTTGGTCTTGGTTAGAGAGTGTGTGTGTGAGAAGGTACTACTATAGACTTCGTGGTGGAGACAAATTCCCACAGTTGCTCTGTTCCATACGGAAGGATATTTCTCTTGCGCGAAACCTCCCACCTGGCCTTCCGGACGTTATGTGCGATTGCTGGATGCTCTGTTGGTCGTTGTCAATATAATTCAGAATCAAGCTCGACTTTTATCCGCTCCTCTATAAATGAATGCAAACGGGTAGAACAAAACGTAAAAAAGTATCGTTGTGGTTACCTTCTTCCTGTTTTTGTCACGCCGGGACAGCTACGTGTCTTGAAGCTAGCCGAATGTCCTGTGTTGCCACTGTTCGGTATTGACAAGTTTCTCTGGCTCTCTCCCTCATCTCGGCGTCTCTATCTCTCTTTCTCCTTCCCCCCTGCGCAGTGCCAAAGTGGAGTTCAGGGGCTCGTGTCCGGAAAGGATGCAGTGTGTTGTTCACGATCGGATATGGGTCTATCACGATATAGTGCTGGTGAGTGTCAAGTGCGTTTCAAGTTATATTGGGGTCCGCGACGATGTTCTACGCTGCCAGCGTAGACTACACATCACGGTCCCTGTGAAGAGACGCATCGCCTGCTTTCCTGCACCATGAAGCGAGTACGGTGCACGAGTGTTCAATTGACTTTGGATCAACGGACTATTCCAATAAAGTCTGGTATTCCGTTGGTATTGGCATCGTCAAGGCACGTAGCCCCCTTCCCCTTTTCTCTCGTTCATCTTGTTGCTGGGGCGGAGAGGGCTCAAGCACAAAGCAACAAGGGCATTTATGACAGTATTGTGCGGCCCAGAAAACAATAAAGTAGGACAGCGAATGTGTTGCGATAATGCTGTACAGAGAGCATGGTCTCAGCATCGTTAACAGGAATCAAAGAAAAAACGCCACATACCAGTAGTGTCCTACACTGCGCCCCGTTCGGTTGTTTCGCTGATGTGGGAACGTCCTGGAAGCTAGGTCGGGAATTGAAACATCTATGGACTTGATTTCCTTCCAGAAGCTGGTACCTACGGCTATACAACGCGCTTGTTCGAACAGTTCAAAACCTTTTTTTCAACGGCAACATCGCGGCGGGATATGGCCTCGGAAGAATGCGCTTCATATCGAGTGACTACGATCGTATGCATTCGGCAAGGAGACACCTGCGGTCGACAGCAGCACATGAAACAGTAGCAAATACCAGGCAGCATGACAACCATGTTACAAATGGGGGGTAGAAGATCGATCTCGAATTTTCTTACTTCAGCGGAGGCGTGATGGGTAACCCGGGCAAGGGAAACGTCGGAACTAGCTCGCGTGCAGTACGCTCACATCTCCTGCTCGCTCCAGCGAAGTACTACTTTCCCAAGCAGCGCTATGTACGAGCGTGCGTTCTTGCTACTGTATCGTTATTACGCAAAGCCATGTCTCACGGAAGGTGTCAACGTTCTGCATACTACAGGTGAAGGGACTTGATTCAGGCTGCACCGTCGGAAACGTCAAGGACAGGCAAGTTCATGCCTTGCATTACACCTGCGGTTAAGCTCTAAAGAGTTTCAGATATTCTACTAGGTGACCTTAACCTGCGAGAGGTCAGGCCGGATATCAACAAGGACAAACATGCCATGGCACAACAACACTTCACGGCGTTTCCTTTCTGGTTTGGCCGCCCTCTGAAGAGAAAACGCCCGACCCACACCATTTTGTTCTGCCAGCCCTGTCATGGAGGCACATTGTTGAACTATTGGAAACAGCTTTGACGCCCTGAGCATAATAAATGCCATGCTCGCCATATTCGCACGTCGCACACCAATAATTCGAGCACATGAAAGCACAACAGCGTTGGTAGTCGAAGCATAGCGTTGATATCATCTCTGGATGTCGGTCGAGGGCTTAGGGCCAGTTACAACAACAGTTGCGCGTTTCTCCTGTGCCATGCGGGAAAGATCGGCCGCTCGTGAGCCACGAAACGAACCCGCCCTTTTATTCTGATGCCCAATGTTGATTGCCGTACAGAGTGAACGAGTTGACTGGTATCCCCGGGGCCAACATGGAGGTCGTGATATTTTTCGTTAACAACAGCCGCGAGCGTTCCAGCACGGCGGACGACAGCTCTTCCGCAGGGGCTAGCAGCACTGGAGGCAGCAGGGGCAGCGAGAGGAGGCCCAAGTCAAGGGAACAAGGCCCGATATCTCTTTGCCTCTGGACTCCGGCTAAATGTCAGTCGTACCGGCGTTTTTCACCCGCATATGGCGAAAGTTGTTAAATCCGAAGAACACGTAGTCCAGTACTTGTTGCAACGCCGCGTCGTTTCAGACGGCAAAAACTACAACCCAGTCTTGTTTGCATCGCACAATACATCTTTGAAACGTCTCGTTGTGTGTGGTAGACAGTTGTGAACGTTTCACATCGTGATGGTTATCATATGTGCCAGCTCGACGAAGCACAGCTTTAACCGTTCTGACGACCTCTCCCTCCCTCTCGCGCCACATTTTCTCTCTACCCCCGATGGTCCCGCCTTGCACAACGAGAAGCTGGTAGGGAAAAAAGGTTTCTCGTGACCGTGGCCGCGAATCCGGCGTAGAAACAGGCACCCCGCAGCATCACCTCCGGTAGTTGTGTTCATGAAGTAGGTTGTAAGAGGAAATATAGCAAAGGTCAACAACTAGAGCGAATTTTTCCTGAAAAAGATTTCACGGGCATTCGAAGGAAAAGTAACCTGAACACTACTCTGAACGCGTGACGTAAACTGCGTAAAGACCGCGTGAAGAGGTCGGAAGCTCGGAAATGGGGAGGGGGGAGCAAGGGAGCGAGGAATGGGAGGGAGAAGGGTGAAAGAATAACCCTGTCCGGGTTCGTTCATGGAGGTGACAACCAGCGTTCAAGGAGGGGGATGATTTCGAATTTCGCGGTATGGGTACAGGAACATTGCGTGGGCTTCGTTGAAACCATCTATTAGGACAGTATTGCGTAGGAGGAAGACAAGCAACAGCAATAAAGGGTATTCGCGAATCTTTAGCTGCAAGCACGATCGACACAGAAAGGGGAGACCCAAGAAAAAACCGCAGCGGTGGCGAGAACTTCATACAGCATATTGATTGCTGTGACCACGCAGCTCGATGGGGTGACGGGAGTAGAAGGTGATTTGCCTCGGCGTGCGACGACCCGGGGTCTGATTGCGCAAACACACTACCTCACCCTTGCTCGAGAGCTTGACGAGTTCGAGAGACCCGATCATCAAAGGAGAGTAAACAATGCCCACCGCGGACTAAAATTCAACGAGGACAACAACGGCGTCAAAGGCACCGAGGCGCTCGTGTCACCACCGATTTCAACCGGAGCAGGACCGACAGTGATGGCGAGTATGAGAGTGACAATCGGCGTGGTGGTGGTCGAAGGAGAGGGGTTCTAGGCACAGAACCGACATTGCTAGAAGTCGAGACGGAGCGGGGAAATATTGCCTGTGTCTCGAAGAGAGGCCGAGAAGCGAGCCAGACCCACTGGTGGAACCGACAATAAAACTGGGACTTGACGGATAATGATATGGCCGTGGTGCTTGCAAACTCTATTGAGGGTCGGTTCCATGTAGGGTGGTGTGGTGAAAGAGTTGGAAGTGCTGCGGCTGCTTGTTTGCTGCTCACGTCTTGATGAATCACAAGAAGAGAAAATGTGAGCGTCGTGCACCACAAGGCGATTGCTTGAAAGACATATTGGTTTGAGAACGAATCTCTCATACACCGGACGAGGCGGGCGCGTTTGCCGAGAATGACTATCTCTGCGATACTCTAGGTACGACGATGCAGTACAGGAAGCAATGGTGTATGCAATAGCAAGTTCAGGTTGGTGCAAAACCCATGCTGTTGCAGCCGCGTGTAGCTTTGTTTAATGGCGACGCAGGTATCTGTACGTCACCGCAAAGTGTTGTTGTGCAATGGGGTGTGTTTCCTTGCTTTCGAAAGGATTCGCCAAACATTCTTGGTCAAACATTGGCTGTGGGGCGATACGTCATGGGTTTGTTGGTGCATGCAAACGTTTGTTTTCGGGTTTCATTGTATGCGGGAAGGGAGGGAGCGATCTGTTGGTGGATATACATTGCTTGCCTCTACCGTACCCTCCTCTCCTTCTCCCCCTCGCTGCCTCGGGAAGGTCTTGCGTAGGCATGACCCATAGCGATGATCGATAATTCGGTTGGCTCAGTTGTGTGCGATGGGAGTGTAGAGCAGCTCGGCCATTACGGGCCGGAGGGGTAGGTAACGTCGTGCAGACGTGTTGGAAAACGTGTTGTATAACGTGTTGTATAACGTGTTGTATTCATCGGGGGCGTGCTTGAGCTCGTCATTCCATCACGGCATCAAGTCACGTATAACGCTCAAACACCCAAAACGAATCTCCATGAATGTCCACCAATCTACCACACTCCCAAGGAAAACATATAGAAACTTCTTGTTCCTCCGTAGTTCGTCACTGCAATACCCGCATATGTATACGCAATATATCACCCGCATGCTATGCTACGAGTATATCGAATAGCCCCCCTGCTCGTATGCATCGTCATGCTCCGGGAAAATATCATAGATATCTTTCTCATACCAGTTCATCCCAAAACACAATCAAAACCAAGAAAACGAAAATATTTCAGACACGACTCAAGTATCCAAATAGCATACCAACACACGCCAATCACTCTCGCTCTCTTCTGAAAATTCTCAACTCAAACTCTTTTCATCCAGAAAAATATGACGAACGCCGTTCAAAGACGCCTTTCCTTTCACCGCCAATTCGTCACAATATCTCGGTGTGTCTCTAAATCCGCCTAGCTATCTAGATATCCTACCATTACCAAGATGTATGCAATCCTAAGACAAATTATTTCATTCATCCACCAAACCTTCGTCCGCAGGTAAAACGCGAACAAGGAATATCTCCCTGAAATACTCACAATATATCATTAATGTTCGGTGAAGAAAGGTCAGCAACACCATTTCGTTTGAAAGAATACAACGTGCCCCCCTGCTCCGAGGATCCGCCCCCCTGCCTTGTGAAGGGGTCGGAGTCAAGCCGAAAAACAATACGAGAGGTGCCGAAAATCAAAACAGTACTTCTGATCCTCTCATCCACACTTCAA